TCTCAGGTTCTCCAGCATCGGCAGTTCCTACTATCTCTCTCAGTGCTGAGTCCACTGCTTTTCGTCATTTATATAAATGATGTGAAAGTAGGAGGTATGGTTAGTAAGTTTGCCATTGACACTAAAATTGGAGATGTAATGGATAGTGAAGATGGTTACCTCAGGGCACAACAGGATCTTGATCAGATGGGCCAATGGGCCGAGGAGTGGCAGATGGAGTTTAATCTAGATAAATGTGTGGTGCTGCATTTTGGAAAGGCAAATCAGGGCAGGACTTATACTCTTAATGGTAAGGTCTTGCAGATTGTTGCTGAACAAAGAGACCTTGGAGTTCAAGTTCATAGCTCCTGGAAAGTGGAGATGCAGGTAGACAGGGTAGTGAGGAAGGCGTTTGGTATGCTTGCTTGTAATGGTCAGTGCATTGAGTACAGGAGGTCATATTGCACCTGTGCAGGACATTGGTTAGGCCACTTTTGGAGTATTGCATGCAATTCTGGTCTCCCTACTATAGGTAGGATGTTGTGAAACTAGAAAGGGTTCAGAAAAGATTTACGAGGATATTGATAACACAATGTGGAGATGGAGGCACACAGCAGGCCAGGCAACATCAGAAGAACAGGAAAGCTGACGTTTCAGGTCGGGACCCTTTTTCAGAATACAAGGATATTGCCAGGGGTAGAAGATGTGAGTATAGGGAGAGGCTGAATAGGCTGGGGTTATTTTCCCTGGAGTGTCAGAGTCTGAGGGGTGACCTTATAGAGATTTATAAAATCATGAGGGGCATGGATAGAGTAAATAGACAAGGTCTTTTCCCTGGGGTGGGTGAGTCCAAAACTAGAGGGCATAGGGTTGAGGTGACAGTGGAAAGATAAAAAAAGGGACCTAAGAGGCAACTTTTTCACACAGAGGGTGGTGTGTGTATGGAATGAGCTGCCAGAGGAACATTTAAAAGACATCTGGAATAAGAAGGGTTTAGAGGGATGTGGGCCAAGTACTAGCAAATTGGATTAGATTTATATAGGATATCTGGTCAGCACGGACAAGTTGGACCGAAGGGTCTGCTTCCATGCTGTATATCTCTTTGACTCTATGACTCCGCAGAATATCCAAGTTTGAGCTGTCAAACAGCAAGTAACATTCATGCCATACTAATGTCAGGCTATGACCATCTCCAATCGGAGTAAATCTAACCACCGCCTCATGACATTCAATGGCATTACCATCACTGAATCCCCCATTTTAAACATCCTGGGGGTTATCATTGACCAAAAACTCAACTGGACTTGCCACATAAACACAATGGCGACAAAAGCAGGTCCAAGGCTAGGAATACTGTGGCAAGTAACTCACCTCCTGATTCCTCAAAGCCTGTCCACCATCTACAAGGCACAAGTGAGGAGTGTGATGGAATACTCCCCACTTGCCTGGATGGGTGCAGCTCCAACAATACACAAGAAACCTGACACCATCCAGAACAAAGCAGCCCATTTGACTGGCACCACATCCACAAGTATCCACTCCCTCCACCACCAACGCTCAGTAGCAGCGGTGTGTAACATCTACAAGATACACTGCAGAAATTCACCAAAGATCTTCAAACAGCACCTTCCAAACCCATGACCACTTCAATCTAGAAGGACAAAGGCAGTAGATACATGGGAATACCATCACCTTCAAGAATCCCTCCAAGTCACTCACCACCCTGGCTTTGAATATATGTCACCCTTCCTTTACTGTCTTTGGGTCAAAATCCTGGAACTCCCTCACTAATAGCATTGTGGGTGAACCTACAGCACATGGACTGCAGTGGTTCAAGAAGGCAGCTCACCACCACCTTCTCAAGGGCAACTAGGGATGGGCAATAAGTGCTGGCCTAGCCAGCGACACCCATGTCCCAAAAGAGGATTCAAAAAAAGCAGGAGTAGGCCATTCAGCCTCTCTAGCCTACACTGCCATTCTATAAGAGCATGGCCAATCTGCCTAAAGTCTCAATTCTCTTTCATGCCAATCCCTCATAGCCTCAGCTCGTTGATGTTTATCAATTTATCCATCTTTTCTTTAAATACTTCCAATGATTGACCCACACTGAAAGAGGAGATAGATAGTTTCACCAGCACAGTTAATGGAGTGTATCACATGGCACAAAGGAGAATCAGAGAAAAGGATGTAACAGCATTATGGGAAAAGAGACAAGTACAGAAACCGAGAATCACAGAATAGGCAGGGTAACAGAAATAAAGAACTGAACAGAAACCAAGATTAAATTGTATCCCTTATAGATTTACATAAAGCATTAACTTTAGTTTAAAACAAGGGTTTGTATATTGAACTCAGATGTCACTTGCCTTAGTCAGTCCCGCAAATGCAGAGAAGTCTGTTTTCTTTTCCATTCCACACTGCATGAGTCATCCAGATCAGCAGTAAACACTGTGTTTTCACTCAAATTGAAGGGAGAGAGTAACAAAGTCACATTGGGAGTGAGGTCAAGCAGACAGGAAAATAGCTTACCACCTGAAACCTGAAGCTGATTAGCCTGCTGTCTACTACCAGTATCTTCTGGTTCCCAGCAATTAAAGGTTCTTTCTTATCGGAGTAGTAAACGTGGAGAGAGGGTGTAACAGAGATATAAAGAGAGAGAGAGGCTAGAAAGGCAGCGAGAGACAGAAAGATTGAAAAGGGGAGAGTAACAGAGACAGTCCAATCTATTGACTGCACAGAAAAGGTGATCAAAGTAACTGCCGTGGCTTTAAGGTCCCAACAGCACAAACACTGATCAAGCCATTGGCCGCTATCCAGTGTGCTGACTGCACCATGTCTTCTGCTGGGATCCAGATTTTAGAGTTTGCTAGAAATGGCTTCATGGAACCCATTCAGATGGTTACGTTGCGACCTATCCGTTTGTGAACGTCAGAGATAGTAGGAACTGCCGATGCTGGAGTCAGAGATAATACAGTGTGGAGCTGGAGGAACACAGCAGGCCAGGCAGCATCAGAGGAGCAGGAAAGCTGATGTTTCGGGTCTTCAGAAATGGGGCCACACCCCCCCACCATCAATCCTGATAGCCTCACCGGAGTTGAGACTGCTTAAAGCCTCGGTTATGACACCCCCAGCTTCCAGCGTGACAGTCTCTTGACTCAAAACCATTGACATTCCCCAAACTAACCTCCCCTCCCCCATCTCTACCTACGCTCAGCATTTCATCACATACTTGGCATCCTACACACCTGACATCATATCCCCTCATATACCTTACACACTTACCTTTCATCAGGCACTGACAAAGTGACTTTAGGATCTTTAACATCAGAAATACAGCAGCAAGTGTATAAGAAGCCATATGTAAGCTACTCCTAAATTTGAATGGATTTCCTGCTGGTTATCTCCAAGACAGGGCAAATTCAGAATTCTCCTGAAAATAGCTGCAAGACCTAAGAGCACATTTTAAAAAATATCATTGTCATCAGACTGTTCACAATACGGATCACAACTCCAGATAACTTACACAAATATCAAACTTTAATTCCACAATGTTATTTTTAAAAAGAGGACCTGGACAGCCAAGGTGAATATGGACATGAATTTGGTGGCTGCCTGGAGAAGGATTGTGACATGTCAAACTATTACAGACTCTTGCTCTGAATGCTGCCTGGCTACCAACCATTGTTGAAATGAATCAGGGCGAAAGAATTTCAATGAAGCTGCAAAGCCAAAAGTTTCAAAATCAATTGTTCAAATACAAATGTCAATGCTGCTGGCAACTTCCATTGTAAAGGCTGTATTGTTCAACCATTCTTCAGAAACAACTAAGAGAATGATCTGTAAATTGCATTTTAGCTTTTATCAATATTTCAAACTCACTTCTTATTCCTAATCTGTCTGTATGTGTGCTGTTATTACTTCTTCTTGCATTTAGTAATGAATAAACTCACTCTTTTGTTAACTCAAGAGAGCCTGGTTAAAATAGGGTCAAGGTGCAGCGGATGCTGTTTAAAAGAGATGTGCAAGGCATGTTTTTCACACAAAGGGTGGTGAGTGCCTGGAACATGCTGCCAGAGGTGGGGTTGGAAGCAGACACAACAGCAACATTCAAGAAACACCTGGACAAATACATGAATAGAAAAGGAATAGAGGGATACAGACCCTGTAAGTGAAGACAGTTTTAGTGTGGAAGGGTAAAATGTGTTGGCACAGGCTTGGAGGGCCAAAGGGCCTGTTCCTGTGCTGTATTGTTCTTTAAGTTCCTTTGACCTTGTGAAAGGCATCCATGAGGGAAGGAACCTAGGATCATAGAATCCCTACTGTATGGAAGCAGGCCATTTGGCCCATCAAGTCCACACTGACCTCCCACCCCCAGACCCACCCCCCTACTGTATCCCTGTAATTCCCATGGCCAATCCACCCAACCT